TAATGCTCACTGACAGCAAGTTGGATTAAAAATTATACACAAATCAAGAGAAATATTACTTTTGTACAATAAAATGTCAGCAAATGCTCATTTACAGTTGTTAACTCCACATGGCAACAATATTTGACATGGGGCGTTTATATTTTTGTTCAGTGTAGATTTCTGTGGCTCTGTGGAGGGAAACTGCATGGACAGGTGCAAGGGCATGGACTGTTGCCTGTGTCAGGAGGTGAACAAAGGGACATCTTTCATTTAGACGTTAAAGTAGTCTGTCATGTAGCAGTTAACAAGATATTAACCATAAGCTAAAGACTGACAATAGCAATAATACAAAATATGTTAACATGATACTTTTTTTTTTTTTAAATTACCTCTGGCAGAAGCACATCCATAACAAATGCCACTTGATCGTGACATGTGGTTGCCTGTGCTTCAATCAGGCTTGTCAAGAAGCCCAACACTCTGTCCAGCTGCTCATCCTCAAAGAAAATTCTGACTGTGCCCTTTGATTATGCCCAGGAGGATGCAACTTTTCCTGCGATGACTGCCTGTCACCTTGTGGCACATTGGGCACCGAAAAGTGTCCACTCCCATTTAATAAGCTCCGGGCATGTGCCCTCCCGAAATGTTGTGATGTTGGTCTATAGGAGAATAAAACACTATTAAAAAAAAACTCATAGGCCTACGTCCTTTGTTTATACATTTTATTCCGAAAAGAAATAAAAGGAACTGTAAACCACACTTCAATCAAACTTCATCAACACACATATAACCGAAACTATTCTTTGAATATATTTTTGCGAAAAGAAAAAAAAAGCTTGTTATGTTAAGTTAAATGAAAATAAAAATATTCTGAGTCTACGTGCCGTGTTCCCCCACTGCTGAAGATTTTCATACAGCCTAACACATGTAAAAGACGACACAAAATGGGTTTGCTCGCGGACATTTTTAGTGTATTGTGTTTGAAGAAAGAGTTTTTTATTTGAAAAAAAGAAATTAATGTTCTTTCTGCCAAGCAAAAGATGTCTAAAATGTTCACGTTAAATTAAACGTCAATGTCTTATCAAAATGTAAACAACCTACATGCTGCTGGCAACTACAGTGGGTTGGCGAATGTACGGGTAAAATGACATTAAGTGGTAATTTAATGACATTAAATGTTAATTTAGAAATAATATAAATGTGTCTCACCTGAACATCATTGACATTGCGTCTTGCCTACATTTACTGATAAATTGTGCCTTCTTCGTCTTCCAGATCGCCCATATTGCCTTCTTCTTCTTCCTGGTTTATTGG